AAGTACATAAGACTGCCCACCATTTGCTTGTAAGTAGTGGAATCAACTTTTGTGCCTCCTTCATCTTTAGCAAGTCTATTACCAGGAACAATAGGATTTTTTACTGGTTTACAATGTTCCATCCCAAATCTCTCTAGCATCTCATTGGCATACTTCTTTTGGCTTATGAAAATCCCAGCTGACCTTTGCACCACCTCCACTCCAAGAAAATATTTCATGCAACCAAGATCGGACATGTCAAACTCCTCCTTCATTGAATTCTTGAACTTTCCAAACATCTGCTCATTATTTCCTGTAAAAATAAGATCATCGACATACAAGCTTACTATAAGAATACCTCCATTTTCATTCTTCTTTGTGAAAAGTGTATGATCACTTAAGCATCTCTCAAATCACTCCTTGATGAAATAGGACTCGATTTTGCTGAACCAGGCTCGTGGGGCTTGTTTAAGCCCATATAGTGCTTGCCTCAATTTGTATACTTTGCTTTCTCCACTCTTCACCTCATCNCAAATCCCTCCTTGATGAAATAGGATTCGATTTTGCTGAACCAGGCTCGTGGGGCTTGTTTAAGCCCATACAGTGCTTTCCTCAATTTGTATACTTTGCTTTCTCCACCCTTCACCTCATAACCCCGTGGTTGTTCCACAAACACTTCCTCGCTGATCTCACCATGCAAAAATGCACTTTTGACATCGAGTTGATATACTTTCCAACCTCTATTAGCTGCAAGTGCAAGTATTAGTCGAATAGTGTCCCAACGAGCTACGGGAGCAAATACCTCAGTGTAGTCGATGCCAGCTTGCTGTGTATATCCCTTTGCTACGAGCCGGGCTTTGCATTTATCCACTTCTCCCTTCTCATTCAACTTGGTTTTGAAAACCCATTTAACACCTATCTTCTTTGCACCTCTAGGCAATTCAGTTAGTTCCCATGTACCATTTTTCTGAATAGCCTGAATTTCTCTGTCCATAGCTTCTCTCCAGGTTGGACTTTTAGCAGCCTCTTCATAAGTTGTTGGATCATTTGAAGTGAACATAGCAAGTTGTTGCATCTCCATAGCTAGTTGTTGTACTTCATCTTCTTCCTCAGACAATCCTTCACCGCTCACATAGTCCTCCATCCATACTGGCTCTTTTCTTCTCCTCCCTTGAACTGGACTTGTCATATTAGTTGGTGTAGGTAGGTCTGAGCTGTTTGCTCCATTCTCTTCTTCTTCTTCTTCAACTTCCTCCACATCTTCTTCTCTTTCTTTTTCTTCATCTCCCCATTTAAGAGCATCGCATCGAGCTTCTTCACTCGTTTTGTTCCAGTTCCATTTTTCTTCCTCTTCAAAAACCACATCTCAGCTTATGACAATCTTCTTGGACATTGGATCATACATTCGAAAAGCTTTGGAGCCTTCGCTGACTCCCAAAAACACACACCTGAAGCTTTTATCATCAAGTTTTTTTCTTTTTACTTCAGGTATGTGAACGTGTCCTATGCACCCAAACACTTTGAAGTATTCTACCGAAGGCTTAATTCCATTCCATGCTTCTTCAGGTGTTTTATCTTGTATTGCTGATGTGGGACACCTATTGAGCACATGTACTACCCAATTCACCGCTTCCGGCCAGTATTCTTTTGGAACCTCCTTTGCAGTCAACATACACCGTACCATGTTCATTATAATTCGATTTCTTCTCTCAGCCACTCCATTTTGTTGTGGAGAGTAGGCTGCAGTAAGTTGTCTAGCGATCCCATTTGAACTACAAAAATTGTTGAATTTAGATGAGTTGAACTCCCCACCTCGGTCAGTACGCAAACAACAAATATAATTTCCTGACTCCTTTTCTACCAAACTTTTGAACTTTGTAAACGCAATGAATGCTTCTGACTTATCATGCAAGAGATATGTCCATATTTTGCAACTATGGTCATCAATAAACGTTATAAGGTACCTTTTGTGGCTATTAGATTCTGGAGTAATAGGACCACAGATGTCCGAGTGTACAAGTTGCAATGGTTGAGAGGCTCTCCAGGAACTTTTCTTGGGAAAAGGATCACGATTTTGCTTCCCCACTACACAATCAGTACATAACTTGGAGCTGGCTCTCAGGATTGGTAACCCTCTAACCATCTTTCTATATGCCAACGCCCGTAGCCCTTTCATGTTGAGATGACCAAACCTCTGGTGCCATAGGTTTGTTAAATCATCTGATGATGCTTGGAAGCAAGTTTGTCCTGGAGCATTAGTAGGTATAGAAGCAAGCAGCACAAACATTCGATTTGCAGACATATTTGTTTGCATGATCAGCCCATTCATTGGATGATAGATTTTGCAAACATTGTATTGAATCAAAATAGCCAAAATTTTCTCTTGAAGTTTCCCAATGCTAAGCAAGTTATTTTTCAGCTCGGGAATGTAAAATACCTCAGTGATTACTTGAGTTATGCCTTCAACATGTATTCTGATACTTCCTTTTCCCATGACATCCATTTTTGAGTCGTTTCCAAGCTTTACTGAGTGCTTAAAAGACGGATCGAGCTTAATGAACCACTGTTTGTCTCCACTCATGTGATTGCTACAGCCTGAATCCAAGAACCACACATTTTCTCTTTTGGAATTATGTGTTTCAACGTAAGACATAAGTAACATCTCTTGATCTGTATCTAGTTCAGCATACTCTGTATAATTGGCATAGCTAGGACATTCGTATTGGCATCTGTAGTATTCCACCATAGCTTTGCTAAACGAAGCTCTACCTCGACCCCTTCCTCTTCCTCTGAAATTTCCACGACCTCTACCTCTTTCACCGAATCTGTCTTCGTCCTTTAATCTAGATCTTTCACCTTCTGTGACTTTCAAAGCTTGGTCCTCCACACTGTTCTTTCGAAACTTCTGCTCATGGACCAGTAATGAGCTCTGCAACTCGTCCACCCAAAGACTATCAATGTCTTTCGACTCCTCTATAGAGCACACAATGTAGTTGAACCTTTCTGTAAGTGTGCGCAAGATTTTTTCAACTATTTTCCCATCTTGCATGTCTTCTCCAGCATTTCTCATATTATTTGCCACCAGCATCACTCTAGAGAAGTAATCATTCACTGACTCTCCAGTTTTGATTTCCAAGACTTCAAATTCTCTAC